AGGCTCTGTAAGTTTAGGGTGGCGTGGGCATTGACTGGAGTCATGCCAGTGCCGGATGATCGATTGTTTGATGTGATTTAGTTCGTGGGTGGTAGGAGTCAGTTTTAGAGACTGGTTTGTCGAAGAGTGATTCCTATTTCGGAGAGCTACGGGAGTGTGTTGCGGGTGATTAACTCTCGATGAGTTGATTGCATGGCTCGGTCGATAAGTAGGGTTATAGGTTAGTACGGTTGTCGAGAGAATTTCGAGGTGGTGTATAGTGGTTAGTTTTAACTGTGTAGTGCAGGATTGCATGATAAGGTAGGTAATAAGGAAGTGCTTGGTTGTTTGCAGATGAAGTGATAGATGATAGGTACTCTGTACCAAATGAATTGTGTTTTGAAAAATTAAAAATTGTGGGTTGGAGTTGTATTCTATGTATGTTTGGAGTATCAGGTGATATTGCTGGGTGTTTGAGGATCCAAGAGATAGACTGTCGATTTGAAATGATTGGGACGAGGGTGATCCCGTAGGCTTAGCTGGTAGCCCCATTTGAATTTGTTGGGGTCAAGAGTGTTCTGAGGAATGGTGAAGATGGGAGGTAATGATGTTGAACCAAGGGTGTGAAGTTTTCTTGCTTAGGCACGTAAATTGTCTTGGAAAGAATGGTCAGAGTAGCCGATTAAGTGAAAATGACTGATTGTGTTGTAGATGGTTTGAGGAGACATTTGGATGTTGAGCATTCTGGTTTTTGTGCTCATTTTCCCTTTGGGATTTATTGGCATGGCATTGCAGTATGGAGGTTATTTTCTGATAGTAAATAGTGGTTATTGTGGGGAGTATCGAAAGTGAGGCATACTCTCTTGTTGTGATAGTGTTATCCTAGGGATGCTTATGGAGAGATCGCTTGGCGGTAGCCTGTTGAGTCGGTGGGACGTGAGTTTGAGTTGTCATTCGAAGATGATAGTAGTAGAGGCGTTTTGACGTGATATTTTAGTTTTGATTAGCAGAATGGTTTACGGTATGATCCGAGGGTGGATTAGAGAGCATAGGTTGTTTGTTGTGTGTTATCAAGTAGGTGATGGGATTGTGCACCAATTGAGGCGATTGTGGACGATTTAGTCTTTAGAGCCAATAAGGACGATGTTACTAGATAGACACCTTTTCTCTTGACGAATCAATGGGTTATTGTGACTAAGCTCACGGGTATTGTGTGCATGATAATCGAGGTAGTATCGCCTGGGAAGGAAGAGATGGAATAAGTGGTAAAACGTCTTTTTATAGCTTAGAGGTTGTCATTTGGGAGTGACTAATTCTAGATGGAATGGGACGCGGTGTCTAACGTACTGTGATCGTTTCTAGTGTTAGTACGCTATAAGCAATTGGTGCTCTTATCTGATTGTTTTTGGTTAGCATGGGTGTTGCGGGGTAACGTATGCAAGGTTCCAGTATTGATTGTGTATGACGGTCCGTTAGTGGCAAGATCGCTTAGATTTAAGTTCATGGTTTCGTACGGGCATCCGGTTAGTTCTTCTTCTGGTATATAAGGAATATAGTTCATCTCAAGTGAGATTGGGTGTCCACGGTTGGACAATTAGTGAGTAGTGTGTGACAAGGTGTCTGGAGCATTCGGGTGCGAGTTGTCAGTCTCTGGTGAGTGTGGGATTTATTACCCTTCTACTTGTTCTGGTTCTGACAAGGATGTCGTTTGTCGTATATCTTGTCCTCTATTTAGGAGTTGTGCGCGTCCGTAGATGGGCTGACCCGTGTGTGGTTTGTTATGTTGTTAGAGTTCACCGGTAAAGGGTTGGTTATTTTGGTCAACTCACTCCCACGGAGGGAGGTGGAGTCTTAGGTTTTAGTAGTGCTTATTTTGCAAGTGGTTTTGACCGATGGTATGTGAGGTACGAGTTGCCGAATAAGGATTGTGTGTTTCTAGTGTCTGGAACCAGCACTGATGGCTAGGGGATGTATTGTGAACTATAAGTTCGAGGATGATTAAGTGTTATTATGTGAGTCATGTACTCAGATATTGTTATAGATGTTTCATTCGAGCAGTGTTTTGAGGACAAATGTTGGTATTGTTTCAGGATTATATGATTTGAAATGTGAATGTATGATTCTTTTGAGGAGTAATTATAGTAATTGACTTTGGTTTTGAGATCTTAGGCATGAGATAGTCACATTGTGTGTTTTGACGAGGTAGGAATTGAATCAAGTGATGTTATGGAGTTGTTTACCTAGTATGGGTGTTATGAGGAGATTAGAAAGCTTTTATGCTGGTCGATGATTGTGACGTTTGGTGTCATGTTATTTTTAGCTTGTTATGGGTTGTATGATTAAAGAATGATTGGGATTTTTAGAATAGGCATATGACTGTATAGTTGTTGAGGTTACGTAGAGCGATTGATTAATAGTGAGTGGATCTCATAGTTATTTTATGGACTGTGTGAGATTGTGTTTGAGGTTTAGACCTAAGGATAAGAAAGACGTCTGTGTTGAGACCGGATCGATGATGAGAATGGCCTGGCCAACCATTTTCCCTGAATTAGTCCCTTTTCAGCACGATATCGGGTCAAAGGTCAATGATTGTTTCGATTTGTCAGGGATAGTGAGAGCACGGTATTGCACGTTGTATTGGTGTGACAGTGTAAATCTAGTCTGGGGAAAGACCTTTGTTTGAGATAATGGTGTTTTATAGATTCAGGTGACTTGTCTCGGGTGACAAGGTGTGTTAGTAGGACAAAGTGTCCGGTAAAGGATTGCGGTTCGACCATTTGATTATCGAAGATCTCGTTTTGAGGATTTAGGTCCTGGGTACAGGACAGTACGTTTTATTGTTCTATTGACTCATAATTATGTAGTCGTTGAGAGATTTGCTGTTTAGCCATCTTGTAGTTGTTTAGTATGATGATTGTCGTATAGTGCAGTTGGTAGTCGCTGGTGCGGTTATGCGATGGTGTAACTATGTGGTAGATAACGAGTGCTTGGTCTGACAAAAATGTGTAGATTTGAGTTTGAGCTTGATTGTGCAACGGACAAGATTCTTTGTCTAGAGTTTTGTGTATCCTTTAAGGGATAAGTTGGGATTGGATGTTTTCAGGTATGCGGAAACTGTCGGATCTGAATTTCGGGACGAAATTCTTTTTAAGTGGTGGAGAATGTGACAACCCGGATTTTTTTTTTTTTAAAGATTTTAATTTATTTCATTATAATTTTAGTTATCATAATTAATTTGATTAATTAAGATTGGAGACTTATCAATTGGAGACAGTTTATTTGATTTTTGTTGCATATTTTATATATATAAAAATATATATATATTTTTTTTATGTCTATGGGTAGCAGGCCAGCTGAAGTGAATTGGGAAAGATGAAAGAGGAATGAAAATGTGTTTTTGGCGGGACCCATATAATAGGTTTTGTTTAACTTGAATCTAAGACTTTTGATGATCATAATTCATTAATGATGTTCTATGTTCACTAATGTCTTCTTGAGTGAAATTACAGATCAAAGTTTTCATCAAACAAGACATTGCAATAGAAGAGCAAAATGAAGATGCAACCCAAGGCATGAGAAAAGGACTAAAGAATCAAGAGTCAAAGACAAGTCTTCAACATCTCATCACAATGGGGTTAGCTAGGATGGTGAACATTTTAGGAAACCTTGTTAAAGTACATATGAACATTTTGAAGCTCAAATTTTCCAAAACCATGCATATTAATTCATTCATAGTGTCTAAGGAACAAAGGACCAAAGTGTAAAACATCATCTAAACATGTTCTTGAAAATGAAGGTCTATTTCGATCTACCAAAATGAAAGGGCTTAATGAATCGGTCTACCGAAATAAAGATACTGAGAATGATGACCAATCTTAAAACGATTTCGGTCGACTGAAATAACTGTGAGTTTTACTTCGGTCTACCGAAACAAAGATGCTGAGAATGATGAAACCATTTCGGTCGACCGAAACAAAAAAGGTTTTTACTTCGGTCTACCGAACAAAGAGTACTGAGGATGGTGACCTATCTCAAAAACCATTTCGGACGACCGAAACACAAGTGTGTTTCATTTCGGTCGACCGAAACTGCGTATTTTAAAATTCAAACAGGCATTTTTTCTTGAAGTACGTGTCCAATAGTTATAACTCTTATCAACATGTCTGGAAGTCTATATAAAGACTTATGAACTTCATTAAATAATAAGCATTCATTAAGATATACATTTTTGCAATCATATACCCTTTGTTCATCATCATACACATACTATATATCATCAAAAAGTATTGAGCTTCAAATTATTCATACATACTCTAGAGTGAGCTGAATTTTGTACTTTAGATCTAAGAGAGATCACTTGTACTTCATCAATCTTATTCAAATCTTGTAAGGGCTGGTGTGGCCTAAGAAAGTCTAAGAGAAGGTGTTTCGCTTAGCACTTAGAAGCAAGGAAGAGCTTCTTGTAAAAGGTTTGTTCTCCACCTGCAAAGAGAAGTCATAGTGAATTGGGAAGTCTCAAGAGGGGTCTTGAGCCGAGGAGTAGGAGTTTCCAAACCTCGCTAAAATCGCTGAGTACACGTTTTCAACTTCTATCTCTATCTCTTATATTTATTGCTTCATGTATGTCTTGATATGCCTCTTCATAAATGTTGACAATTAAAGCTTAAAATTCAGATTGCATCATTCAATATTTATCAAAGAAGTTGAGTTTAACTTTAGCTGGTAAATCAATACGAAAAATTGACCTTAGTTTTCTTAGACTCTATTCACCCCCCCTCTAGAGTCTATACTTGGGCAACAATTGGTATCAGAGCAAGGTCTCTGTTGAAAAAGCTTAAGTGTTTTAGAGATTGATCATGGCAAACTTAAATGGTCACCTTCTTCAAGAAGGTCAGACTAATACTAGACCTCATTGGTTTGATGGAACAAATTATGGTCATTAGAAAAATAGAATGATAGATTTCCTTCAATCTGTAGACTAACAAATCTGGTTGGTTAGTGTTAATGGACCATTTGTTCCAATGAAAGGATTTGGTGTAGAAAGAGTCCCTAAGACTAAAGCTGAATGGAACACCGAGGATTATAAACTTATCTCCTTGAATGCCAAAGCCAAAGTCAATCTTAATTATGCTATAAGTCCTAGTGAATATAATAGAGTCTCTACTTGCACCACAGCTAAAAAAATATGGGATAAACTCCAGATTACTTATGAAGGGACATCACAAGTTAAGGAATCCAAAATTGATATCCTTATGCATCAATATGAACTGTTTCGCATGAATGAAAATGAATCTATTAGTACAATGTTTGTGAGATTTACTGACATTATTAATGGCTTAAAGCACCTTGGCAGAACTATTACTAATTCTGATCTTGCAAGGAAAATTCTTAGAAGTTTACCTGAAAAATGGGATGCTAAAGCAACTGTAATTAATAAAGCTCATAACCTCAATACACTTGAGTTGGATGAACTTCTCGGTTCTTTTCTCACATGGGAGATCACTCTAAAAGATAGAGAAGGAGATCATCATCGAAAGAAAGAATTGCTCTAAAAGTCTCTCAAATGGAAAAGGAAGTTTCCGGCAATGAAAGTGAAAATAATGATCTAGCTCCTATCACTCAATCCTTCAAAAGATTTTTTCATAGGAAGAAATTCAACAAGGGAAGGTTCAAAAAGGGAGAATCATCTAATTAGCAAGGCAAACGTGACTCCCCCACCTGCTTTCATTGTGGAAAACCGGGACACTTTAAAGCTGATTGCCATGCTTACAAAGAGGAAAAGAAAAAGAGAAGAGCAATGCAAGTTGTTGCCCAAGAATTGAACCTAGAGGGGGGTGAATGGAGTCAATGGCAAAATTTCGTAATTTATAAATATGATTACTAACTAGTCTCTTAAAATAATTATGCAATAACCAAATGAACTTGATAATCAATTCAAAGCAAAAAAGTAAAAGAGATAGGGAAAAGAAATTACAAACAATGACTCGGCGATTTTAGCGAGGTTCCGAAACTCCTACTCCTCGGCTCAAGACCCCTCTTGAGACTTCCCTATCCACTATGACTTCTCCTTACGGGTGGAGAGCAAACATTTACATGAAGTAACTCCTTGCTTCGCCTTGCGAAGAGAACAATCTTTCCTTAGATTTCCTTTGTCACACCAACCCGGTGGGTCAATCCAACCCTTACAATAGATAGGAGCAAGAACAATGAACTACAATAGATCTCTCAAAGATAGTAGTACAATTTTTAGCTCACAACTAGAGTATTGATGAATATAAATGAAGCTCAAACTCTATGAATGAAATGAATGAGATGAGATGATATAAGTGAAGAATGTAAGCTCTTGTAATCTCTCAAGTGTATACTAGAGCAAAAACTCTATGAAAATTAAAGCAAGAGCAAAAGCCCTTTGAGTGCTTAAGTAAATCTCTCAAGATTTGAATATGAGTGAATGAGAGAGATGAAGAGAAGATTTAAGAATAAAAGCTCTCTTTAATGCAACATGAAGCCTCTCAAATGATGTCTTTATGTTATTAAGACATTCCCCACTCTATTTATAGAGTTTGCAAGCTCAATATAGCTGTTAGGAGTTAAATGCACAAAGGTCGAGGAGAAAAGAGCCGTTGCATTTTGAAATCTGCAGATTCGACAGGAACCGGTCGACGTATAGCATAAATCGGTCGACGTCTTTGCATGAACCGGTTGATGTATGCTTCAAACCGGTTGACGTATGCATCAAACCAGTCGACGTAAATGATATGTCACTGAAATTTCAGTACTGCCTAGATACCGGTCGACATGAAGCTAGAATCGGTTGACGTGAGTATCTGGTGCATTGACAGTTTTGACAGATGACAGCTTATGCATAGGACTTTCAGTATAGGACATCTGCACACAGCTTAAATGTCTTTACAGTATTTATATGTCCATTTACTTTAAGTTTACAATGTAAATAAGGAAGTACCCCCCATTTGGATTCAATAAAAAATACTAAAAAATTGAAATTCAACTAAATCAAAATGTAGAAATTCAGTTTTAGAACAAATTTGGATTTCTGACAGTTTTGGTAAAAATGAATCCTTATGTAGACCAATGTAGACTTGGTCAAAAATTCTGATAAAATCAGTTTAAGCTAGTTGAAGTATAAAGAGTTATTACTGGGAAAAATTATTTTGAAATAATCATTATTTTAAAATTTCATTTTTCACACTTAGCCAAAAACACAGTTTTTCATTCCGCGTATTCTAGGGTCCTAATGTCCGTTACCAACTCATGGTAATAAAGGCTTCTCATGCCTTAATTGTTGACCAATATGAATTTTATGATTGATGTGCATGGTCTTAGCATTTCTAGCACAAGTGATGAGTTCTTTCAAAGCTTATGCAAGCTTGAACTAACTTACTCTTTAGCAAAGACTCCATATGTCAATTATATATGAATGAAGTGTATAGTCAATTACTAATGGATATAGGAGCATACGAATGATGATATGATATGCATAGTCCTATAGAGATAAGCTTCAAATGGATTCATAAATACTTTGATATTGAATCCTAAACACTCACCATCCTATCTACCCCTTTCTTCACGCTTTGTCCATGATCGTGTAAGCTTTCAGGTGGACTCGCTTTCTTTCTTTCTTTGAGTTGCTTTCTTGCTCGTTGTAATCCAAGCTATCTTTGGATGGACTTTACATTTGGTTCCTTGCAACTTCAAGTCTTCTTTGTATCCATTTCTTTCATTGATGTGATCATGAATAATGGAATACTTGGAATGATCTTTATAGCTTCATTGAGGTCATTCTTTGAATGTGAATAATCTATATAACACTCAATGTAAACATTAGTCCTTAAAAACCATTAATGGTTTGTTATCATCAAAACAACTAGATTTTCCTTGGATGTCAACAATCTCCCCTTTTTTGATGATGACAAAACATTGATGTGTTTATAAGCAAATGGAGTAGAATTTGAAAAATGCTCCCCCTATCAAAGTGCATTCAATGAACATAATGTTATAAAATTGTATGCTTGATATATCATAAATCATTTTAGACATAAACATGCATTTAAGATCATTTAACACATCACATATCTCTCCTCCTTTGGCATCTCAAAAAGATGGGAGGTCTAAACAACTTCATTAAGCATTTAGCATTTAGTATAGTGAAGCATTGAAAACATGAGTTCAATACATCATTAAGGTTCCTGGCATATACAAAATTATACATAAAGCATAAACCCAAGATGGAATATATACTCAATTAAGCAAAAGTATGCAAAAGTATACATAATAGTTCGTAACAAAAATAAAATTGAAGCAAGGATTAGTGTAAGCCAAAAGGCAAAAACCTTTGTAGAGGCAAAGCTAAGAAGTTAAATGTGCTTCAATCCTAATATATATTTTTCCCATTTGATGTATTCAATAAAGAGGGAAAAATTTTCAAAGTTATGAAAGCTCATAAGAATATAATAACCAAAAAGTTATTTTAAGGCATGTTTTGACAATATACAAGATAAGTTAATTAAGGTAAGCAAATCATGCAATATTTTTTCATAAGAGATTATTAATAATCTCCCCCTATCAACATGCTTCCATTTACATCAAATATTATTCAATGATTATGCAACTAATGGACCAATAAAGTAATGATAGGTAAAGTATGCTTAAGATATATCATAAAACAAGTCATACTTAAAAACCCTTAATTCATTAATGGAAATGATAAGATGTATTATTTGAAGATCATGGGTTTCCCAAAAGTATATAAGCCAATAAAGAGATGTAATTATAACACATAGGAGCAAGTATGGCTAAAATCATCAAAAATGAGGTCTTGATACCAAAATAACTTCTTTAAGAGATGTGGTGAGAGATTGGCGACATGAATTTTCATGTGGATGAGCTAACTATCTCTTCTAGATGCATTATTTAAGAAGTGATGTAAAAATATCACATGAAGTTCTAAAGTGCTAAAAATGGATATATCAAAATAGTATAGCACTTGTGATATCACATTAGTCATCTAAGCTAGAACATAATATCTTTTTAATTTCATATTCCCAAGACTAAAGAGTCAAATAGATATATGAAATTTAAGTTTCATGACACTTGAGGAGTTTAAACTCTAGAAGAAATCATGTTTACTCATCATGCTAATTTCAATTTATTTTGCATGTTAGAGGTAAGCTTCTTTGCACAAATTATAAATGTTGATCCAATGATAGTATATATGATCAATCTACATATTTTCATGAATGGTTTTGAAAACACATATATATCAATTTAGTCAAAACCCATCAATCTTGAGAAAGTCACTAAGCCTTTCAAAGAGAGCTCTAGGAGCTTATTTTTAACAGCATAAGGCTATTGAAAATCTTAAACATCTAGTTCAAAATTTTATACATTTCAATTCCGGATGATTTTTCTTTATAGTCTTTAAAAATGAAGTCAATTAAAAATCATTTCATACAAAAACATGTAACATTTTTATTGCATCAATTGAAAGTCATATTTGCATAAAGACATGTATTCAATTTCTTCTTTTTGGTGTAACCTTTGAGAGTAGTCTAGCTTAGTTACAAATGATACCTCCAGATACTTATCATGATGAGATTACATGGTAAAGGAATATGGTTAAAAGTATATCAACTTTTAAGAAAGAATTAATTCCTTTAATTTGCACAATAGAGTGTTCACCAATGAATGATCAATTGGATGGTAGTAAACAATTCTTCAATTCTTAGGAAGATATCATAAATTCTCATTCTTCATTTTCATGAGATGGCTCTTCCAATGAGATTTGTTCCTTTAGGTGTTCAAGTGAGGACTTATTTGATTTTTCATTACCTTAAGTCCATCTAAACCATTTCAAGATGAACAACCTCATTTTCTATATGCATGGAAGTAACATAATTAAGTATAGATAAAACATTTATGATCACAAAATCATATAGATGACTTTTTATACATTGCTACTTTAATACATTTAATAAGGTTCACATGAAATAACATTGATGGTGGCATATCTTCCGATAAATCTTTCACAAATATTGGGCATAGTTAATCTAAAGATCATTTAAGAGATAGAGAATCATTTCATGTTTGCATGTTCATAACTCATATGACAAAACAAACTACTTTTATGTAAAATATAAAAAACATAGACATTTTTACATCTATTAGGAACAAGTAGCATATCAAAAGCGTCGTACTTAGAATTTAATAATTGAATTCTTCATATAAAAGCATATTAATGAGAAATGAATTATTTACTCATGGTACTAACTTCATTAGCTTGGAAGTTGTTTCTCAATGTGATGCATCATTTCCATTTTGTGAGTGAGAGGAATTCTTGGCATGACATTTCTTTTGTGCTCTAGGCACCAACTTGAGAATCCACTTGTCCTTGAGTGAAAAGGATTTTAAACCTATAAAACATACTCAAGTGGCATTCTTGGTACCCAATTCTTTTAGGGTCCTCATGAGTTAGAACACATTATCAAGGTTTCTTTTGGAACACAATTCAATATTAAGCACAAATGTGACACTA